AACCATGGAGCCGTCTAACCTTGGAGCCGTCTAACCTTGGAGCCGTCTAACCTTGGAGCCGTCTAACCTTGGAGCCGTCTAACCTTGGAGCCGTCTAACCATGGAGCCGTCTAACCATGGAGCCGTCTAACCTTGGAGCCGTCTAACCATGGAGCCGTCTAACCTTGGAGCCATCTAACCTTGGAGCCATCTAACCTTGGAGCCGTCTAAAATTGGAGCCGTCTAACCTTGGAGCCGTCTAACCATGGAGCCGTCTAACCATGGAGCCATCTAACCATGGAGCCATCTAACCTTGGAGCCGTCTAACCTTGGAGCCGTCTAACCATGGAGCCGTCTAACCTTGGAGCCGTCTAACCGTGGAGCTGTCTAACCTTGGAGCTTTCTAACTGTGGAACCATCTTTTGTGCTGTCTTGCCAACAGCCACTGTTGTTTTTTCTACCTGAAGTCTGTTGTGGTTATAAACCTGATTACCTCCAAACAAAGAAATATGGAGACATTGAAAATGTGGTGCAGAAGGCCTAAATGACCTGCAAATCCTCATCAGGCGTTACAGATGATGACTGATGGGCGTCCTGTAATAGCTGTGTATGTAATTCAATAAGTCACAGTGTAAGGGCCAGGATGGGGGAGGAGAAGAGCGCACACGTCCAGCATCTCCAGAGGACACCTTAACTCCTTACCCTGAGAGAGGCCAACAGAAAGCAGAATAGACAGAAAACACTTGTTGCCATGACACTGTCAGCTGTTGAAAACCAGGATAAAGTGGGACAAATGGTCTGGATGCTGCTAAGCCATGTCTGAAGGCTGGCCTTGGACCTCAGCTTTCCCAAACATCCCAGTGGTTCCTAAAGCTGTTGGTGGCTGGAAGAATAAAAGCAAATTTTCTTTTTCCTTAACAAACACATCTTCTTTTTTGGCAGGGGTGTATCACTTTTACACCATTATAGTCATAAGAAACTTTATTAATGACAAAGTAATAACAGAGGCTTGATTTCCATTTCTTACAGGAAGTAGGAAATACGCTATCACAGTTAGTGAGTTTGATGTGCTCAGAATGTAGGACCCACAATTCTAGTTGAGACAGACAGTGATTGCTTTAAAGGAGTTTATAGACAGAAAGGAGCTATGGATCTGCAGCAACTGATCCATACCCCCAACACTGACAACTCGGGTTTAGGGAGAAACACATTAGTTAGTGACCATGATAATCTGACAGAAGAGGATCGTCCATGAGAGTCACTTACCTGGTCTAACAGTTCACTCCATCTTCATAGAACGAGGCAGGATCCCGCCGATGGACTGACAACGAGATGCGGCCGCCGCCGCCCACAGTGAACCAGATGCTGCAGCCTCAGTGAACAGGCAAGAATTGGAGGTCAGGGAAACAGTTCAGAACACGAAGGATCAGAGATCCCGGGTCAGTAGCCCGGTCAAGAGTTCTGATCAGAACAGGAAAAGGCTGGTCCAGGATTCCAGGCAGAACCTTCAGATGGGCCTCAGTGGTCGAGAGGCAAACTACAGTACGCTAGAACTCGCTCCCTCCGCTGAGCCAGGGTACGCTTAGCGGATAAGAGACCGGACATGATCAGGAACACTACAGCAATACTAAAAACCACTCTAACCACTGGCCTCTGCGAACGAGAACACAGTCAGGGATCTGGACCCGATAGCTGGGCTGAGCCATATGTAAAGCAGCAGGAGCAGGTGGATTAGATAAATAAAATGTTCTGAACATTTAGAACCAAACTGAACCAATGGTTCTGCTGAATTACCGGATCTGTTTTCTACTATCAAAACAGTGGATGGAGGAAGCACTGTGAGCCAGAGGGCGGCGATTACTGCAATAATAGCCTGCTGGCCTGGAGCTTAGAAATCAATTTCTTCATTTCTGAGAGATGATGTTCAGACAGCATCAACTCCACCATGACTGTTTGTTCCTAAACAATGTGGGGCTGCAGGACCTAAGCGGAGGAGCCGTCAGCTGAAGTGAGGCTGTTGCTGCTGAATAATGGCTGCTGTTATTTTTATCTTTGCAGCTGCAGCACAGCCCCCAGTAATGAGAGGAATTCACCATGCACCCTGCAAACGGGAAACAGAGCAGTAACATGTTCAGCATCGCAGAGCTGTGCTAAACACACTGAGGCTGCAGCTTAGATGGCAGGATCCCCAGAATCAAAGGCTCTGTTCTGGGCCATGGAGGTCATTTCAGACAGTTTCTGTCCCACGCAACTTAGGCCTTTGATTGGTTCATCATCTGCCATAGTTTCGTTTTCTAACAGGAATGTTTTTAATCTATAATGTATGAAATGTGAAGCCTTGGACCATCGGAACCGTAGGATTTAGGCTCCATCCTCACAGAGGTTATAGATGGAACCAGGCATGGACTGGTAATCAGGCGTACCGGGCACTTGCCCGGTGGGCCGAAGTGCTGTTTGGGCCGCCAGACCCGACATGCATATTAATAATATGTATTATTATTATTATTATAATAATAATAATTATTATTATTATTTATCGGCCTCGTTATATTTGCATAATGCATTAAAAAAAATGAAATCAGCAGCGCAACAGTCTGTTCCGATCATCCGGCCACAGGCTACTGCAGCCCATTGGTTATCATCCCTGACAGTCTAAAGGGCTAGGCCAATCAGAAAGTAGAAAAACACCTTCACTCTCCATTGGAACTTTGTGCAGCGGTGTTCACAGTAGTAATGGAGAAGAAACGGAAGGGAGGCGCAGAGAAACTGCGCGAAAAAAGAAACAAGTTCCTCAAACTGACGCTGCGAAATGTGTCAAACTGACTTGTTATGATGGGATTCAGGTTTCTAACCCACATGCAGAACACAACGGAGACAGATGAAAAGTTTGACTGTTTATTGAAGATAAACACAAATAACATGAGTTATACAGAGAAACAGATCCAGGACTGGTCACACAGGGTTCTCTGTAGAGAGGGACAGTTAGGTTAGCCAGAGTACTGTAGATCTTGCCAGAGGAATTGTGCTGGTTTGTACCTGTGACGTGATTCAGGTTTAGCAGCTGAGGAGGGGAACCAGGTTGGGTCCAGAGGCTTGAAGTTGGCAGAGGGCTAAGCAACGGCAGGGCTCGACTTCAGACTTATCAGTGTTCAGATCCAGAGTTTTCTTCCGATCCTCTTCTTGAGGGCGGGCAGGCAGGTTCAGACAGTTGATTTCTTCAGGTGAGATCCAGAGAGCCGGCAGGCAGATTTCAGCAGATGAAACTCTTCCAGAGTTCCAGGGTTCAGTCAGGTTATTCCTAGGAGGCAGAGAAGACAAAAACTGATCAGGCTCAAGTTCAAAGTTCAGGAGAGTCAGAGAATCAGACAGGCTGGTTGGCTCAGGCTTCGCTAACCATAACTGGCTTAACACTCTGGCGCTGGAGTGTAGTCCTNAAAGTTCAGGAGAGTCAGAGAATCAGACAGGCTGGTTGGCTCAGGCTTCGCTAACCATAACTGGCTTAACACTCTGGCGCTGGAGTGTAGTCCTGTCGCTGCTTATATCCTGGTCTCCTGATGACTGATGGATCGCAGATGTGGTCGTCAGCTCAGCTCCAGGAGACCTAGAGGTGCCCTCTGCTGGAGTGAGGTGGACAGACCTCCAGATCCCAACATGGCTGACATGTTCCCATCAGAAGGGCCTTCATCTGCTCCGGTGTCTGATTTAAAATATAATGGTGATGGTGGTTGCAGACATCCAAAGTCTCCCGGAAGTTCCGGGAGTCTCCCTGATATCGATAGTTGGTCATGGATGCCCACGAGTCGGATAAATTATTCCAGATTTTAGATTTTGGGAGGTGTTGTTTTTTAATGCCAGTGAGAGCGAGAGGCACTACAATAATTTATGCATCATGTGCAGATTAGAACTACTGTGATTGCTGGTGAAACCTGTGCAGTATATCTGTCCAAAGCGATGCTCTGATCAACCAGCGTTCCAGGAGACTGGTTGATCAGAGAGCTGATTGGATCAATCAGAAAAATAATCCAATAAGTTTCGGTTTACTTTTTTACAGTCACCTGATTTTACAGCAGAATATACTAAAGGGTATTCATGTCTAGTAAAGGTGAAAAATGATGGAGTGTGCATGTATTCACCACTAAAAATGCAACCAACAGCAGGTGGCTCACATATTGTGAGAAACATCATGCTTTATTTTGTTTTGTATGTATCGCATTGGGAAAGACTTCTGAATCAAGCTCATTTATTACTGGGATGTCTGATTGGAGGCATGTGCACCAGTGCACAGAAGAGCATGAGAAGAGTAGCGGAATATGTGTGGTTGACAGTGACTTTTCTCTCTCTCTCTCTCTCTCTCTCTCTTTCTCTCTCTCCCTCCCTCTCTCCCTCACTCCTTGATCTAAGAATCGTTGCTGTGCTGTGGTGGCGTTTACATTTTACAGTGTTAATAAATTAAGATTTTGGAAGTATTTTAAGTGTCCTCTCTCACTAATTTCCATTTACCTGGCCTCAAGGTATTGCACAGTTGGTATACACATTCAGTACACCAAAAAAAATGTGGTGGGCCAGTCTAGTCCAAAATGCCAGGGACAATTTTTTGTCCCAGTCCACCCCTGGATGGAACTCCCTGATCGATTTAGGGGCAGTAAACACCTTGGTGTTAAGGTTTTAAAAAACCCAAGTGTTTGTTTCCCTTACCGTACCCTCTGTTGCTCCATACTGTACCCTCTGGTGTCCCTTACCATACCTTCTGCTTTCCCGTACCGTACCCTCTGCTGTGCCTTACCATACCCTCCCATACCCTGTGTTGTCCCATACTGTACCCTCTGGTGTCCCTTACCATACCTTCTGCTTTCCCGTACCGTACCCTCTGCTGTGCCTTACCATACCCTCCCATACCCTGTGTTGTCCCATACTGTACC